ATACGAATATGAAGGCATTATTATTACCCTTTCCAATACCTTTTCTACTAGATACCACTACGTTTACGAAATCGAAAACTATTACGAAGGCGAGTAGAAAAACCGTCATTAAAATAGATACCATTACCAGAAACCATTTTCATTACCATTTCTATTACCATTGCTATAATCAGTACCATTACCATTGCCAATATAATTACCATTTCCACGGCCATTACCGAATCCAGTACCAATTTACCATTTCCACTTCTATGCCAGTGCCAGTTTCAATTCCATTACCATTATCACTTCCATTACAATTACCATCAGCATTACCACTACTATTGCCACTATTCTTTCATGATGGACAGTTTTTCTTGTAAAATTATCCATGTGGTAACCACTCCTGCGGTTTATTCCGAATTGTAGGCAGTTATTGGCTTGCCAAAAGTCGTTGCTAAAAATTTCAGAGAGATAAAGAGAGGCGATCATAACGGCTTAAATAAACAACTAAAACATTGAAGTTATGAGTAATTTCTCGTACAGAGTGAACGCTTTCAATTCCAACACTAGCATCAACTTTGGTTACAAAAATTCTTTACATAGTTCACGGTTGGCTGACGAATGTATGTACATATGTATATGGCCTGGTATGTCGGAAATTTAGAAGGCAAACGGCTTGCTGCTGCTATCAGATTGATTTGTTTTACTTACTAATGAGGCGAGAAATCAATTCAGGCCTTTATCTCAATTTTCGGCAGTCATTGAAAGCTCCCAGCAGTTAATTCTAAAGAAATATCTACTTGGACTATTTTGTAAATCATCAGTCAGCTGAAAACGCAGGTGCTTATTAATTTCTTCAAAACTGAATGCTACCTTCACTCTCAGCCAGTGTACAAAAGGGGGCTAATAAATTTGGGCCATTTATGCGCATGAGTAAAAGTCATACAATGTGGACTATAAAAGCAAACATAAAGGAGTATTTCTAACATAAGTACACATGTACGTAAATACACAGTTTATTTAGCGATCTAGAAAACTTTCACTATATGTTTTTCCCGGCATCATAAAAAGACTTCTAAGCACTTAAACTGCGTAAGCTTTACATACTCGCATGAAAGTAGCAAACTCCTCAATATAAACGTTCCTTTTTAACTTGATATGAATAAGATATTTATTATTTTGGTTTCAAGTTGTATACATATGTACCATATTTAAAAGTTATCCTTTGAATTAACTTCTAATCTTCTGGCAAAGCTGAATGCTTTTTAGGCCTCTTCCTTTCCTTTCAAAATGTTTTGATAACACACATCGCTGTAGTTCTTTATGGTATTTTTAAGCCCTTAAGCTAACTTGCTAATAAAAGCTGTAAATAGGATAAGTACGTCAATTATGTAGAAAAACGTGAATTCACATTTTACAAGCGTCCAAGCACAAAAACACTATGCGTGAAAGTGTTTCTATAGGCATGGTGTGCAACTAAAATCCTCTGTAGGAAAATATTATGGTTTTGGCCTGTTGACTTATAAAATAGCATAAAGTTTGGATCTACGCAGTGCAATATTGAAGAAAAAATGGAAAAATTGGTAGGACAATTTACGCAGCTGATGGAATCAATGATTCCAAAGTATTGCCAAAAACTACAACGTTTTCCATGTCTGTTCGATCACTACGCTGAGGTTTGAGATACTCCTGTAAGTTCCACTTAAAGGCATATGTGTAACTGAAAAAAGACGAACAATTACATGCTTCCATCTTAAGCAAATTTTAGGTGGAATATAGAAATTATGTCTATCAAATCTCTAAAATCGACTTTGGCGGAAATTTTGAAGCTTAAAGAATCTTAAAGACGTCAAATACCTGACGTGACGGCAAAGCTCACATCGCGGCTTCTTTGTAAACAGTAAAGCGGCGTTCAGCTCTCTGAGGTCGGCAACATAGTTAATGGTTCCCCGAGAGATATGAGAAAGCCGGAAAAGGTGTGTCTCTTTCAAAGTCTAATGGATCGGAGTCCGGTAAGAACATTTAGGGAAGGATGTAAAGTCCAGGACATAACAATAAGCCTACGTGGCCAGCGAATGAGCCGTTGACACCAGCAAACCGTCTTAACTGGTTAACCTCCAAGTCGATGAGTAAGACTAGGTTGAACTTAAAAGCACTATGATTCATCCTCTGCAATCGGGTAGTCGTATCGTAGATGATGTACAAAAACTTCAACTTCCAGACTTCACAAAATCCTTTGGTCTGTAAATCAAGTATAATTGCAGCTAAGGTTAATCTTTGGGAGCCTTATTAATTTCTTTGCTCTGATGTTTTATGAAACAGCACTTAATCCTTTAAATTGGAGGTCCAGGGTTCTATTCTTGGTTCGAGAATTGTCTCAAAAAATTTGTTTTTAAAAGCGGTACAAAACCTTCGGGCGTATTTTTGCAATGAAAAGAGCTTATCCTTTAAACTATTGGCGGCGTAAAACTGTACGTATAAAATATAGCAAAAAAGTATCACTTGTACTCCGATTATACTGTAATTTTTTACATGTGGTATGTTTGCTTAGGAATGAAGAAATCTTAAAAATCGCATAGATAGGAAACCTGCATCGCCCAAAACACTAAGGGGCGGAAATGGTAAATGTTTTTGAGTTAGTTTCAACACAAAAAACTTAAATCTGAAAGATAGTCAAAATAGGCCGAATTCTACTCCCAGCAGACATAAAAAATCCATTTATAAAACCCAAATTTTATTATATCGCGGTAATAGGCATGTCAAGAGTCTAGCCAAGTGCTTAGTTACTATTTCGAAGTATCTCAAATTTTGGATATTCTGCCAAGCTCGAACCACTGTGCCATAGTGAGAACTTTTACTGATGACCATCAAAACTCATAATCGCCTCGCCTTGTCTATAAATCATTTGTAACGGCGATCATGTATTCAACAATTTTCTGATCAGGGGCCGAAAATAAGCGTTAAATATCAAGATTTTTATTTTTAGATCACTGCACAATCGTAATGTTTTGATTTTTATTTTTTTCAATCAAGAATAATAATTAAAATTGGATTTTTTTTTTCTGTAAAATTTAATCGTTATTTTGTGATTTGTTTTTCTTTTTTCGTTCAAAAATAATCGATATCTTGGCTTTTTATATTTTTTTCAATCATTTTTAACTTGATACTGCGTTCTTATGACTGATTCAAATTTTTTATCATCTAAAAAAATTAAATTTGAAAGTTATAACCATTATTTAAGATCGTAAAAATAAAACTTCAGAATCAGAAGTCATAGAATAACGGTTAATCTTGATCGAAAAAATATAAATCCAATTTTAGCGGTTAAATTATGATTTTTATTATCTGATCTTAGGTGAGGAAAACTTGGAAATTCTGTGCAGGGAGCCAATTTTCGTTCTATGATTGAAGTGAAAGGAAAACGAAAAATTCAAATTCAGTGAAAAAGCGATTCTCTATCATTAAGGGCTTTTCCCAGCTTCTACATAAATATCTAACAAGTAATTATTTGGTAAATTATTGTGAGTAAAAGATTGAGTTTTCGAGTTAAATGGCCAACTTTTCTTTTTCAGAGCCACAGATCCTTGTGAAAAAACTTTTCACAGTGAAAACTTTTTGAAAAATTATTTTTTTTTTAAATAGACCGAAGCAGCTCCAAGCCAGCAAACATAGTAAATAAGAATTTGGTCCTCATTTATACAGAACAAGAATTGACTCCCAGGTCGTAATTTCCATCCGATTTGATAAATTTTTTATGAAACTTGCACTTTATCATACCAGAATTTAATGCGTTTAATGGGAAAAAAATCTATATAAATAATATAAATAAATTTGAATGGGTTGAAAATCGACAAGAAAAGTCAATAAAATTAAAAACCACAATTTTTTGTTGGACTTAGCCAGCAAAATGTCTGTTTTTTCGAAGTACATTTTTCAACAAATTTTTTTGGGGGTTGAATAAAATGATTATATAAAGGTACTATTTACTCTTGAAGGTCATTGTGTCAGCTTTCGAACTCATATTTTTCCATATTTTGATCTTATTCGAGAGATTTACGATTTTTTGCATCGAGACCCCCAAATCGTACACTCTGCGCCCCCTCATGGCGAATTTTAGTTCAACATCTCCTGCGTTGTACCTTTACCACTTATAATTTTCACAACTTTTTTTAAACCCAGAATCAATGTTGAATCCTTGATCTGCATAATATTTAAGAATAAAAACAAAATGTTCAGCCGTCGCCGCTCGGTAGGCAATTTTAAACCTTCTTCAATGAAAATATAAAATCTTAACTACTGGCGCTTTATTTATATAAAATATGTATTTGTTGAGTGATTTTGATAATTTCTGTAACACTCGCTACTGACAAACTAAACAGCCTTCACACTAAAGTACATAAGCACTATTTACTTATCAAATAATTGAAACTTGGTTTGTAGTCTAATGACTTTTAATTTTATTTTAATTTGAAAATTTCCTTTATTTACGCCAAGCCTTCACTACTTCCCATTTTTCCCACACGGCAGCTAAACGTCCGTGAATTTACTAACATACATACATAAATATTTACAACAGTCAGGTGTATTTGCCTGCCCGAAAAATGAGTGCTACTTACAGCCACTTCCGCTACATCCGGCATATTTCCTGTTTTATAATTTTTTGCATTTAAATTTTACATTGCTCATTTTGCCTTCCACTCCTTTGCTGTTACACACACTCATGAGCGCATTAAAATGCTCATTAAAATTTAAGTGGCACGGCATTGGATAAAAGTGTGTATAGAGGCTGCCACTAACATAGATTACACGCTTTCCGAGTGAAAAATTTTACAAAATGTTTCCGAAAAAATATGAAACACGCGCTGCTTTAGGAGTATTTAGTAATTTAACAAAAGTGTTTGCCTATTAACTTTATTTTGTACAGCTTCGAGATAAATACATATATGTATACATATATAAAATTATGTTTTTTTTTTTTTTTTAATGAAAAAAAAAACGCTTTTTTGCCTCTTTTGCAGCGTTAAAACGGAGCTGATGGACGATGGCGCCAATTCAACATTATCCATAGCGAAAATCAACAAGTCCGACTCCGGCAACTATACGTGCGCAATTAGTGATTTTCAAAATTTCAGCATAGTCGTACACATACTGAATGGTAAGTAGCTGAGACATTTGCAAATACATACTACACATTTTCACACGAAACGCGAAAGCAGTCAAAGCACAAGCTGTTGTTGTTGTTGTTGTTGGCTTTAGGTGCTTTCGCTTTCGCTTTCGCCTTTGCATGAGCGCCAGCATATGCTGCCACAAACGAGCTCAGCAAGGATATCCCACCTGTTAGTGCTTTCCTGCTTCCTGCCTTTTTGTGTGTGCATTCATCCGCGCAGGAAGACACACTTGCCACTACCTCTAACTAAGCCTTACTACTTATATACTCGTGCATACATAAAGGCATGCTTATTATAAAACTACTTTTTTAATGCCTTTAACTGAATTTGTTGCTCTGCACGCGCGCCGCCTTTATTTGTTGATATGCTGGTGTGTTCCTCTTCTTTTTTTTGATTGTGTGAAATCAGTTGTGCAAATTCAGTTAACGTCACAAGCATTTAACAAACTAATTAAATGGGGAAATGCACATGTCGCTCATTAAGCGAGTGTTTCCTTCTCAGCGCCCCGCTCCAATTCTCTTTTCGCCATCTGCTGCTTATCTGCTTCATTGCTCCTGTCAATATTGTTCGCATCGTACAAGTTGGGCGCTTTCATACTTATTAGCATTTATTTTCGTGGAGGTTACATGGTATCTGTTGCTGACTTTTATTACATTTATAAACTGTTATAGTGATGATTATTATTATATTTGTATGTAATTCAGTGGTGCTGGCAAGTCAATTGTTGCATTGATGAACAATAAAAGAGGAGAGTCAGATGGTTGAATAAGATAGAGAAAATATATTATTTTGTTTACTAGTGCACGGCGTCATGTTGACCCTCAAATGGACGCAGCAATAGTTTTGCTCCAATTCCGAATGGCAGACGCGTTTTATGATAAGCTTTTTTTTATAGAAGGAGAGCTCTTGGAGGGTTTCCACTATTGGAGGACGATCATTGTTAAGAAACCATCTTTTGCCTGCTGATCGGTCTAAGATGCAATAGGGTGGTGGTGCTGCTCACTACTAGCTACGCCGTCACGCTTTACAGCGTAAAATATTTTCTGAATGCATCAAACCCCAGTACTAATGGGGTTATCTCCTTTTTAGAGCCACTTTTTTGCCCGATAAAAGGCTGTTAATAATCTTGTTGAACAGAGGCACTATGAATGGCATCTAAAAACACTTTAGTTGTCTAAACTGCATCGCAGTGCAGTGACAATTGAATGATAAATCGAGTAGAAAAGAAGGTCAAATCCGTCCCTGACGAACATAAAAATATGTCCTCTTATTGCCAAAAGCAAAAAAAAAAATATTCAAAAGTTCTTTTGGGTAGGTATTAGGGCTACTTCAAATTTGTGCAATATAAGTATTTTACAAAGGTCCGCAAAGGAGTAAAAGCACTCAAGAAAACTCAATAAATATTTCACTAAGTTTGACTGAATAGAACTTTAATATCATTGAAAATGAACTTATGAATGTACAAAATAAATGATTTTACTTCGGATATGTTGGAATGGATATTTTTATATCTTTTTAAGTATTTTTAAAATTTAAATATTCACCATAAGAGGAGAATTATATGAAGGAATTTTGAAGAATTTCAGATACGATTACAATATAAAATACAAATGACCCGTTTCCCGGTTTTTCTGTGTTCTTAACTGCAACAACAGCATACAAACTCTTGAAAATCCACGGCAAAAACCGCCCTAATTGCCTTTTCAAGGCATTTACATCCTACCATCCAATATAAATGTACAATATATTGTACTTTTTTTACCGCTCGGGAAAAATAATTAACATCAAGATAGTTTAATTTGAGCATTTTTATATGATGAAATGCTTTTTATATTTCCATGCTATGTGCTTTTCTTAGTGATTTTACTTGACCTTCACATATTTTTTGTACACCACTTGCGTGTCACTGGAATTTTATAAAATAGTCTATTTTTAAATTAAATTCTAAAAATATTTTTGAAACGTTTTCGATTTTGAAATTTACGTAAACTATTCGGGACAGTCAAAAACTTCATAAAGTTTAATTTGTTTTCAAAAATATTACTAAAATTATTAGTAGCACGCCTCAAATGTTACAAAAAATTAATTGTACAATATATTGTACAAATGCACGAAAGTTTTATAACAAAAACGTTGCTCCATAACAGTTATTAGATGAGAAATATTTTTTAATTCGTCGATTAGAGTTATAACCCAACGTTTATTTTTTACGTTGCCTGATAACTGTTATACATATTTTCATTTTTCAGTTGCCGATAAGAGTTATTTCCCAACGTTTATTTATTACGTTGCTGGATAAGAGTTATTTTACAACGTTTAGTTTTTACGTTGAGGATCTTTTTTTATTGTTGTCTTATTCGGAACTTCCAGTTTCGACCATAAGTGGGCTCACTGACAGGGAGTCCAGTTTTTTTTTTGCGTATACGTAACTTTTGTTTGAAATTTTTTCTCAAAAGTTCCATTTTCAACCTCTAAATGACCTTCGAGCTTCAACAAGTCCTGGACTTCTAAAATGGACGAATATATTTTATATTAGAAAACAAAAAAACAAAAACACGAATCACCAAGTCGGGGATGTTCTATCTTTTGGTCGTTTTACCAACTTTTGGTTTCGACCGGAAGTGTGCTAAAGTGACCGGAAGTTCATTTTTAAAATGGGGCATACATATTTTTACCTCAAATCGGGATTCCGCAGACCAAAATACATAACTTTTTCTTTTTTATTATGCATTACTTATTATTATGTACTATCTGTTATCCATCTGGAGATATTTGATTTTTTTTCTAAAAACAAAGTTCATTTTACACTGTGCGACGCTAGAGACCTTCTAAGAGAGCTAAGAGAAGCAATCAATAGACGTTGGTCAATACATAAATGGAAGTCGCGCATTAGGAATATCGTTGCGCTGGAGATCAAGCGAAGAGTAAATAACTCTTTTCAACAGGTTCCACTTGTAGCTTGGCTGTCAAAAAATGCAATTTGGGTCCTTGTGCATTGCACAGAAACGTGGACTATGTCTTACTCCGATTGACAAGTCACTAAGGATTACCGGGTTACGCCATCTGACCATTTGGACAGAGATATCTCAGACAGGGTATCCCTCGAACCGCAACCATTCATAGCACTCACACCTTCGGCCATCTTAGGCACTGTTAGAAACTGAGTGAATATAATCAGCAATGACTGGGAGGCTTCGACAGAATGCAGGAGGGCGAAGCTAATGTTGGCCCCAGTTTCGGTGAGTTGTGCTCGGTATATGCTTCCATTGAACAGATTAGACTGCAGACAACTTGTGGGCCTGTCGAGTGGACAATTTACGTGGCGCAACCACCTGACAGTGATCGGCATACATGGCAACCCCATTTGTCCTTCCTGCCTTGAAGAGGATGAGACGTGATGTGTCCCTGTCCCGTCTTTGCAAGGATTAGGTATGCGGCGATTCCGCCAGAGGTAACCGTTTGAGAAGCCAAATGAGACAACACAACTACTGCAAAGTTGAGAAAAAGAATGGAACTGCAGCTGAATCTTACCTGATCTCTCCTGTACCATCAATGATGAGTTGGAATCATCTCAGCACTTTCTATCAGAAAACCCAGCCTTCGCGACGCTAAGATGGAAATATTTTTCCTCGCACTTCTTGACGAAACCCTAAGGAGTTCTCTGACAGTGAAATTAGCTGCATTTGTAATTTCGTCATCGGCTCGCGCCGTTCTGTCGACTAAATAATGCTCATCGTTAAATTTGGTGGTATCAAAAAGAACAGTCTCTTAGTTTTCCTAGTGAGGCCCCTATCTAACGCTCCTTCTCTGACACAATAAGCAAACTGTGTCTGATCGCTTAAGCGTATCCAAGGCAAATCTAACAGGTACCAGCAAGAGAGCAAAAACAACAAGCTACGTGTATTTTGTGTTGATTTTGTACTCTAAAATGTCAAAAAAGGTAAAAAAAATCTGACGTTTCAAAGTAAAATGTAAACAAAAAATTACAATTGATGGACAACTTTGAATGAAAAAAAATTACCTATTCCTTTTGCACTTTGCACAAAAAACCACCATGACTGAAGATAAAACTTAGTTTCTTTGTGAAATCCATTGCAAATCATTCACTTTTCGTTAAAGTTTTTCTATAATAATTTTTCTTTTGAATTTGCATTGACTTTCATTTTCCTTTTCTTCTTTTGCTGGCCATAAACAAACTTTGCTGCTGTTCATTACACTTCATTAATTGCATCCTCCAAGTACTCATTATACAATTATTCCACTTCATATTACTCATTAATAAAATTTATGAGTTGAAATATTTTTCGCTTAACAGCGTAGAGTTTAAACTTATTCTTATTACTCATATTAGATACAATAAGCAATCGAGATTGCCGTACGTACTTATAGGTATTTAGATAGCCTTAAACGTCCATTACTTAATTATAACATTCTTGTTTGCTTTTCTTGTTCTTGTTCTTCTTCTATTTTTCTTCCACTTTTTCTCCTATCTATGCAACAACTTGCTGATTGCTGTTGGCCTTAATGTTACACCCGCTGTTACAACGATCCGTTGACGATGTACATCCGGCACAACGCGCTTGTGCCGCTGCCGCTTCTGTTCTTCTCCCTCGACGACCAATTGGGTTTTAGGTGAGAGTTTCGCGGAACTGCATCACGGCGCTGCGGCAGCCAGAGTTCCTAACTCATTCCACCAGCTGTTAGTTGTTCATTGTGCGTTACTTAGCTCACTGCTGCTGTTGCTGCTTTTGCCACTACTTTATGCGCCACATCAACCGTATACACTCGCACCCAGGTAAAAGTTACTCAATTAGCCAAAAGCAGCGGCAACCGTGCAGCGGGCTATGGATTGGCGGAAGTGCCAACTGCTAGTGAGAAAATGGTAAAACGCATAGCGTTATAGTTGAATTTTTATAATTTATCTAATTGAGTAAGTAATTGAACAAAAAAAAAATCAAAAACAAGGAATTAAATTGATAATTAGTTAACGAGCATTATAAAATAGTATGCGGATGTAGAATAAATAATATGTTGAATTTATTAATGAAAAAAATTATTACATAAATAAAATGTTAAATTATACATTTGTTATATTGAAATTATTTTTATTAAACAATTATATACTATGTATGCATGTTTATGAAAGAATGAAACCACAAAAGCCACAAAACAAAAATCATTATAAGCCATTTTTTACAAATACTAGTAGTACGAATACATTCATATGTATATGCATGTTCATTGAAAAAAGGAAACCACTAAAACTAAAAATAAATGCAAAATCAATGCTGAGAAAGTGCGATCAAAGTCGCATTAAAATCAAAAAAAAAAAACAAACTG